AACACATTTTTCGTATTTACTCAAGAATGGAATCAAATTTCTCCATAACTGGGCCCCACCACATGCTTTTGCACTAGAGCTGCAGAAAAAGAGAGACTATTTCCTAACACTTTCTTGCAATAGGACGACTCCGGTTTGCAGCATCATTACATTAGGCCCTGACACTGCAGTATTAAAGGGCAACATAATGTCAACTACTCTGTGAACTTTACTGGTTTCCAGATTCCTCCTAATAAGCACACAAATCTTTCTTTTTCTAAGCTGAATCTCAATTTCAGATGCAAGTCACTTTGCTACTCCCTCTAGATCTCACTGCGTTTTGCTGACTTAAATGGTATCTGCAATATCTCACAACTTAGTTTCATCTGAGAATTTTGCCAACTTTCTATTAAACCATCTTCAAAATCATTTGAGTGATTTTGAGTTAAATAAAACAGATCTGAGCAGGCATACCTCCAATCTGGTCTCTCTGTATTACAACCATGATGTTAGAAAAAAGTGGGACAGACCCTAAGCTTGACTGCATCTTGAAAGTTTCTAGTATACAGAGGTATTACTTATTTTTTTTTTTTTTTAAATAACAAAATTTTTAACCTTTCAATCTTCATGCTACAAGTAACTTTTTCATTCCCAAGAGTCCTACACAACAAGCAAACAGTATAATTATTCCCATGTTTGTAACTAGGAAAACAGAGGCAGAGAAGTTCAGCAACTGGCCAAGGATTCCAAATATCAAGGCATAGCCAGAGCTCATGAATACATGGTTCACAGCCATAAGCTCAGCCATGAAAAATGCACCTCTATTTTCATGTCATTAGGTAATCAAGTTATCTAGCACTGTGTGTCACAACTTGCATCGAAAGTCAACTTTAATAAAATATTATGAACCAGTATGATTCAGCAAGGTTGCATACCTGATGAGAGGACATTATATTTGGGCAAACTCCCATGTCTTGGTATTTCAGGTAAGAAACTTCGGAGAGGAAGGGCATCACTTTGCATGGAGGGAACACACGTTTCCTGAAATAAATGCCATTACATATAAGTAAACCCTTAAAAAAAAAAAAAAAAAAAAAAATCCTTTTGTCAGTATTGCTACTGCTCCTGTTCAGTGAAGCCATGTGGAATATAGTTGATTCCCTTCAACTGAATTTTGGGAAAATAATGTGAAATTGAGCAGAGGGTCTGGTACTGTATCTGTAAGATTAGGAAGGGAGCATCATACTGGTTTAGATGCAGGTTACATTTAGAAGGTTATCTGTGAAACCCTAAGGGCTGTACAATTTTTTTTTTTAAAAAAGCTTTAAATCTTGCAAAAGTTAATGACTCCTCCACTCTGGTTCATTGGAAAGAACCTCCTGCTTGCCACTGGACATCATATTTTATAAACCCCAAACAGAGAGGAAAAAAGGATGGTTGTGAGATGCAACATGGCAGGATGGTTTTTTTTAACAGCTCTGTCAGTCACTTGCCTAGTTACTCCGTTCTTTCTCTCTCTTTGAATTCCCCTACCTGTTAAGTAGAGATAATACTTTGCTACAGCAGGGGGGCGTAGTTGGGATACAGTCATTAATATGTAGCAAATACTGAAATAAGCAGCACCACAGAGAAGATGAAGATGTAGAAACTTTAAACTTATTGCCTGCTTTAAATTACCCCTTTGGATGCTCTACAGTCCAGTGCTGTCTTCCTCTTGTTGTAAAATCACACTGCCCAGCTTTTTTGCTTGCAGCGAATCAGTTAGCTGTAGTAAAAATTACATTTGGCTGCATATGATTAATTAGAAAGAAATGTTACTGAAAAAAATGTGACTACTTTTTGAGTGAATTATTATGCAGTATTAAGAAAAATGTATTAATTAATCCTGTGAGACTTAACACAAAGGTTACACCACGATCAAGATCATGTGAAGGAAGAATTAGGTCAGTAACTATATGGCTAGAACATTTGCAGAGCCTTTCCTGCCTTTCTGCCAGTACGTCACCATACCGCCCCGAGGACTGGCCAACCTACGCTTGGTATAGGGTAAGGGGCAAGGGAAGTGGGGGGTTGCTTGTGAGTGCCATGGCTCTCTGGGATTCTAGTGAAGCTGCACCCTGAGGAACATTGCAGACATTAAAGTAATATCAGAAATGGTCACTGAGAATGGCTTGGCCACAGCTGTGAATTGGACTCTACCACTGTATTTGATCACTTAGCAAAATTTCCCTGGTACCTTAGTGTACATCTGTGTTTAGATTGCTATTAGTTGATCTATCAGTCAAGTCAGAATCAGTCCTGAAAACATGTATGCTGAGTAACTTTGAAGTTTGTCAACCTATTTTTTCAGAATCTGTTTTGGAGCTTAGGGTCTTCGTGTTTATGAACACGTGCTTAGCTGATGAAGCATTGGAAGATGAATTAGACTCCGTTTCTTCAAACAATTAAGTCAAGCTGCTTTTTTGAAATAATAGAGTGTGATATTTCTGTATTTTCAAAGGAGAATAACATCTTCCTGGGGCATAAAATATGGAAAATTTGGATGTGGTGAAAATTGTGCAAGAAAGTCCGCCGTCTTCTGTAGAATCTGACATCAGAAATACGCACAACACTGGTTGCAACTTAAATACTAACAGGTAATGGCGAATAGCACAAACTGATCTTTGAAATTTAAAAAGTGTTATTGTACTCCTCCCTCGAGCCTCAACTCATTTGAAGTGTTACGTCTTACCAAAAAGAAAGCTTCAGAATATGATATATGTCTTTACTGTTTCTGACAAAAATGTGATGAAAATGTCTAAGATATATACATGACATGATAGTTCAACATGTTTCATTTTTTTTAACCTGTAGGGAACGCTGTTATATCAGTGAATTTGTATGTAAGCCTTTATAACTGCATGTTGACCAGTCCTACTTAAATATTTTGTGAATAATTTGTACTTTATGTTAAAGTGAGCTGACCAGTTGATAGCAGCATGAAGTGGGTGAAGTTGTGATGTTTTACAGCCTTCTGAATATATTAGGTAAAGAGAGAAGCTGTGGTACAGCTCTCTACTGTGATTCAATGAGTAGTGCTGCCGAAAGCCGCAAAATCAAATTTATTTTTTGGATGACAGAAATCTTTACAATGGAACTAGACAGTCTTGTTCAAACTGCTACAAGTTACCATTTCAAAGCAGGTGAAACAATAAATAAGGAGCAAAGGAAAACCAGTCTACATCTAGAGCATTTTATTAAATAAAACTACCAAAATCAGCACATATACCTGTTGACTTTTGTAACTATAAATAAGCCTATCCTCCAACATGACCTCTGTTGGCCTTGCTCCCCCCGTCCTGGCATGGACCCCCTTCTGAGGCCTCTCTTCCTATCCTAGCCCAGCAACTTCGTCCCAGCCACACTTCCCCTCCCTGTCTCACCCGATGCCTTGGACTGTGTGGCCCTACGTATATTCAAGGCAAGCAGCCATTATAGGCAGGTGATGGCTGACAGGATGTAGTGACAGCACATGGCTTGGAGGGGGAAGAGGGAGCCAGAAAGCCCTGCAAGAGAGCTTTCGTGTGAGTCCTTTTGTAAAGCTGTACTTCAACATTAGGAAATTTCCATTTCATCCTCCTGCCCTTTTGGCCATACCCTCTGTCCCCTTGGAAGGCCATTATGGTAATAATGAGAATATATAATGTAATAATTAACTATTAAAGTACATTTTAATATTTTGTGTTTACGATGACACTGTAGCCACCTTGCAGCATTTTGTGGATTCTCTGTCTTTTATGGGAGAATAACCTTGTTCTTGTGATCAGATCAATCAACTTTTCGCCATATTGGGCTTCAGAATACAACTTAAAGACAAAAGGTTTTTGTACTGCGACTCTACTATTTTAGCCACCGTTTCAGCAACATTTGGCACAATAAATAATTAAAGGTTCTTTCCTCATGTTTCAGCAGAAGTAGTCCCTTGTCCAATCCAAATGGAGTTTCCAGTTTCTCAGGGAAGACCAGCCCGTCTGTAATCCCTGGGTCTATTGAAGTGTTGGCTTCCTTTATGCAAGATATTCAAAAGACTGGAAGGACTGACTCAGAAATTTTGCAGAACTGTGAGGTATTTGTTGTTCAGTTTTTACTCTTAAACTTACATTAACCTAGACAAGTTTGCGTGGTGGAGAACAGGTCTAATGGGGTATAATTTAGCAGTAAAATATAATTTTTATTCAGTCACTTTAGGAAGCAGGGCACTATATCAGGTAGAATGCTTTATGCTGCAGACTAGAGGTTGGCTTTGGGCTAGATTGACGCAGATCAGGTTAGAGACGGGCCGGTGTGTGGAAGATGGGTGCCAGGGCCTTGCTCTAGACCAGTGTTGCTCAACCTCTGGCCCACAGATTTATGTTATCCAGCCCGTGGGGCTCCCTACAGGCTTGGAAACTTGGTTGCAGGGAACCGGTAGCAGTGGTAAGTACCCTATTAAATTAACTTTATTTTAGCTTTTCAAAAGAACCCTTTTTTCCTCCTTTACTTTTAATAAAGCCTAGTTTATGTGGATGTGTAAACTACAAGTGCTGTCTTATTTTTGAGAAGCGTGTACGTAGTCATTTGTTTGCGCTACAGATGTTACCACCTGAAAAAATCTCTTGCTGTAATTTTTTTTGGCTGGGATTATTATTTATTAATTGCAATTAGTAATAGCTAAGTTTGGGGCCCATATTTTGATAGCAGAGCAAAAGTCAGTTAAGAAGCCAGTTGTTTTAAATGTTTCACTTTATGATTTATTAGACAAGGTGGCTACAGTTATTCAAACTGGTGGAGAAACAATGTCAGGAACAAATAGTTGCCCAGCAAGAGCAGTTCCACCATCAAATCCAAGTAAGTGATTATTTGTTCATGCATGAGCTTTAGGCTAATGGCTTTTTAACAGATTGTTTTTCAGTTAATACAAAGAAATAGGAATGTTGTATCTGCTGCTGCTGTGACACAGGCTTGATCATGCCTCCATATATGTACATTTAGTCCATGGGAGTTGTGTGTATGTATCTGGGGGTTTGACCAGACCTCTGACACTTGGTGTACACATCTATGGTATCTATATCACCTGGCTAATTAATAGCATAACCTCTAAGAACATTTTCAGAAAGGGGAAATCTTGCATGTTTGATTTGAAATGCTCTGTTTTCACAAAGGCTTTGAAGCCAAATTTGAAAAAAAAAAAGCTTTTTTAAATAACTGTCATTTTATGTTTCCAGTTGGAATCTAGCTTTCTTTTAATTTTAAGACAACATAAAAGAGGACGTAAATTTTCTCTAGCAGAAAACATCTGAAAACTGGCTGTCTTTTTTTCTATAGGACCTAGCATAGCAGAACATTCATTGTAATCTCTCAGTTATTTTACTCTTGACTTGGAGAACATCTCACATGAGTGATGAGGGGAGGCTGAGGGAATTGGGCTTATTTAGTCTGGAGAAGAGAAGACTGAGAGGGGATTTAACTATCTGAAGGGGGGTTACAAAGATGGAGCTGGACTGTTCTTAGTGATGGCAGGTGACAGAGCAGGGAGCAAGGGGCTCAAGTTGCAGCAAGAGAAGTTGAGGTTAGATATTACGAGGAATTTTTTCACTAGGATGCTAATAAAGCACTTGAACAAATTACCCAGAGAGGTTGTGGACTCTCCATCCTTGGAGGTGTTTAGGACCTGGCTAAACAAAGCTCTGGCTGGGATGGTGTACTTGGGGCTGGTCCTGTATTGAGCAGGGGGTTGGACTAGATGTGACCTCCCCAGATCCCTTCCACCCTTCATTTTCTATGATTCTAACTAAAAAGTAATTCAAGATGTGAAGATCTTGCTGTCAAGATTCAGTTTCTTCTTCATCCTTATTTTACCGTGAAAGCAGAATAGAGGGAAGTGTGTGTATGTGTGAGAGAGAGAATATCTATTATATGTATAATATTAAATAACTTCATCATTTTTGGTTGCTGTTTCTCCCTTCCCTTTCCTGATGCCCTCCACACGAATAGTAACCAACAGTTACTGAATTGAAAAAAAATAACAAGAGGTACTGTCCTTTTCTTTATCCTATCTCCTATTACCTCCCTGTTTTCTTTCTTTCTCCTGTTTTAATACTTTTGTCCCACCTGCATCCTCCTACCCTTGAGTTTCCTTCTTCATGTTATAGTGATTTAACAACCTTGTTGCTAATGATATCTTTGACTCCTACATCATGTTGCTGATAGGAAGGCCTACCTCTGGAAGAACTAATTCTGCACTTTGTGGTATCTGCAGAGACTTACTAACTGCATGAATGGCAAGCTGGAAATTAAAATCAGTGGCCCCAATTTTGCTCTCAGTTATACTAGTGGCAATCAGGAGTAAATCTGTTGGATTCATCATAAAGCAAATGGACTTAGAATTTATGCTGTTTGTCTGAGAACAAATTTTAGCCCCGGGAATTGTGGAAATAATTAAATATAGGGGAAACAGCACGCAGTTAACAAGGAGATATAACTAACAATTTTCTCTATTAGGCTGCGTTCACATGAGCGTAGACATTTGTTTCCCCAGGGACAAGAAGCAGTGATTCTGCCACTCAGAGCCTGGCCTGTAGCTGGAGTGACTCTGGTTGGCCAGGCTCCAGTTTTGGGCAGCATGTGCTTCCCCCGCATGTGCTGTTCTCCTTTATTTATTTATTTATTTATTTATTTTCTCCATGGGTTTTTGGGATCCCAGGATCTCCTGGGGTCAACCCCCTCTGCACTGCGCTGCTACCTTGTTGGGCGGAGAACAGCTGAATGTGTGGTATGTGGCCCCACAGACATGTCTGCAACACCGCATACCGCACGGCTGCGCTCGTCTGGACACAGCCTTAGAGTGGAAAAGTAAGAAACTTTCTTACTTTTTCTTAGTAAGAAAAATGGTCTATTGATACCACTTGGACACCTTTGATAAAGCTACATTTCTAGACCCAGAACATTCTAATGAATTCAGATCTTTATGAAATCAAGGGACAAAGATTGTGAGGTCACGCTGCAGTTGCAGTGCAAACTGATCTTCAGCTGGTGTCTGTTGTCATTGACTTAAAGTCATTGGAGTTATAACCGTTTCCACTTGTTGCAGGTCTGCTCCAGATAGCAGTGAGTCACACCAGCTGAATTATCTGGATATATAAACCTTTTTGAAAATTGCCCCAAAAATCTCCAAAGATTTTACAAAAATTCCCAGATACTGGGTCTGATTTTTCTCCCCACTGTTTTGCACCTTGTGGAGTCATTTACTGCTGGGCAACATGGGGAGAAAGTGCTACAGAGTTAAAATAATGGTAGTGTTACACACATTTCCCCCCAGATGGAAATGACTTCAAAAGGTAATAGGCAATGGGACAAGAAAATTGTATCTAATAAGGTTTTTCCATGTTATTTTTCCTCCCAAGAAAATCCAATCACACAATTTTGTAGCTGCTAGGATCTAAATAATAATTGAGGACATTTTAACTGGGGATGGGAACTGCGTCCACATGAATCTTCATGGACAGAGAGAGAGAGATAAAATACAAAGACAAAGTGCAATTTACAGTCCGTATACAACAGAATCAGGCCCTAGATATTAACATGGAACATTTCAATGGCACTCTGCTCGCTGAAAGTTAAATTGTGCATTAGTACCCTGCTAATTATAACAGAACTATTTAGGTGACTCAGTTATATATTGGTATTTGGCAGAATATTATACAGAATAGGGCAAACTACATAGAGGTGTAAACCTCTATATTAAAGGAACTACATAATTTCCTGTCTAAAAGGGATATTTTAAAGCAGAGAATTCAATGGTAATAATCTTAGAGAGGTACATTATTTCTATTATACTTGAAGCTGAATAGTAAACCCTCTAAAACCTGAATAATAAACCTTCCAGAACCCTCCCTATAATCTTAGACATTTATAACTTGGATATAGATTTACTTTAGACCTAAATTTAGCAAACAAGGTCTTTGTCCTCAGATGAATTGCTTGCTTATTTTTAATTATCTGTTTAAAAATATCATTTTATAGTTTAGTTAGCTGATGCTAATTCAGAAGGCCTATTGGGTACACACATGCATGATTTGAAATTAATAAATGATTACTAAGCGTAGTCATTCACTGCTTCAAGTAAAGACTGTTTACCACATATGAATTACTGTTATGCATCATATACGTGTATTTGTGTTACGCATGATACGTCTATATATACTGAAAACTTTTAAGTTGGGGTTATTTAAAATATGTTTACCAATTTGTTAACATTTAAGTTTAATGTAAGATGCATCCAAATTGAAAGGAGTTGGTGGTGCAGTTCCCTGGTAAATGCTTTAACCAGTTTCTTTTTTTTTTTTTCTTTTAGCTTGTTCAGAATGAGATATGGCGGTTATTGAAGTTACAGAACAGTAATGTTTCTTGGGATTCCAGCACCTGCAGGAGTTCTCCTGCCAAATTTACAAACAATTTTTCTTCATTAGAAAGTCAAATGGGGTTGAGGTCTGTGACCCTTCAGGAACATGAGCCGATTATCAATCAACTTAAGTCTAATGAAGCTGAAAGTCAGCCAAAAGCATCTGCTGTGCATCAAGAGTGTTTTGCAAATAATATCTCAATGAACAGTGGCTATGGTACCCTTACTGCTTCAGAACTGAATCCCAGCAAATCCATGGACATTAAAAAGTGCATGGAATACACAGAAAAGATTTCCAAAGGACAGGGAGATGCACTAATGACACAGGGGGATGTGGCCATAGCCAACATACAAACAAAAAGAGAATGTGCCCAAAAAACTGAGGACTCTTGTCCATCACTAAAAGCCGATAATTTAGTTTTTCCTGCTGAATTTGAACATAAGTTTAATGAGGATCAATGTGGAAAAACAAACTGGTAAGTGAGCAACTTTCTAGACTTAACACAACTATAGTGGCTCCCACCCTGCAAACACACAAAAGAAAGTTCATGTATACAGGTATTCTGTTCATTAATGAAACTGCACATGTGTGTTGCACTTACTTGGCCCTCAAACAATGTATCTTGAGTTGTGTATGATGTATTTTTTTGAATTTTATGCCATCTGAAATGCTTGTTTTGAAGGGGTGGGACAAATGCAATAGTATGGTTCTAATTGCAAAAGTAAGCTGAAATAGATTGCTGGCTTACAGCACCTTCTTTTATACTCTGCCAGTTTTATAACTTTAGGGGGTGGTTGTCTGTCTTTATCTCATGTATATGCTCCTGTTACATGCATCAGCAGCCTTCTCATGGCATGCATGTATTTTAGTATAAATTGTCAGTTGTGAATTGCAGAAAAGAAAATTTGTTCTTTGGCTGTACCTGGTAAAATGAAAGTAAAAAGGGTTGGAAGAACCTCCTGTCCTGAAAAAACTGAACTTAATGTGAATGTTTAAAATGACTTGTATGCTTGACAGTGTATAATAGCTTTTCTCCAGTCCCCTTCAGTAGATGGGTAATGAGATAGTATGAGATTTACTGTTATCCCAGATGTGTGAGATTTGCTGTTATCTCGCACCTAATGTGTGAGATCACTATTATACTTGGTCTCCATTATCCCTCCTTAACCATTTTTCATTGGATTAGATGCTAGTGCCCTGGGTGTTGCTGGATGGTACCCTAGCTGCATGAGTGACTCCAGTGAAATCAGTGGGACTCTCATAGGGTAGAATACTGTTCATCACAAGGAAAAGACAGATCCGTTTGGGATTTTTAAGAAAAAACTGATTTGTCTCTTTTCATAGGAAAGGATTGGTCAGTTTCTCATTTTGGGGGGAAATAGTTAAAGTGTTTGAAATGTGTTAAAACATCCCATTTCCCCATTTTCAAAAAGAACATTTCCATGTATGGGTTGGAAACAACTTTTGTTTACAAAAATGTAGTTAATTTATAATAAAAAAGAAGGGAAACCTGTTTGAATTGAAATATTCCAATTGCCCCAAACCAAGTTTTTGTTTATATTTCAGTTTGTGAAAATCTTTTATACTTGGGGCTGAGAAAATTTGCAAAACCCTAACACTTTTTTATGAGATGGGGAAAATCATTTTCCTTCCAGCTCTGTCTAAGAGTGCCTGGATTTTTTTTGTTTTGTTTACCTTCC